GCAAGCAAGTCTATCCCGGACCGTGTATGAATATTTTAAGCTGAGTAATAATAAATGACTATTAATTATTAACTCTATTAAAACTATTAAAAAACATATTACATATTGGAATTTAGTGAAAATTAGATTCATATGTGATTGTATATGGAACCGAATATGACCGGAGTATATACATGTATCAAAACGTGCATTTTTTCACAGGACATTTATTTGAAATTTACAGGGTTTTAATACTAAACAAGGTTAAATAAGCTACTCAACGTTATATCTACCGGTATGTAACGATCAAATAGAGTGAGCAGTTCTTATAATAAGTTTCGCATTCAAAGGAAAATAGGAACCTACTCATTGTTATGACGTCATAAACTCAAAATTCCTTCTGTAATTCATGTTTCAGAGCCCGGATGTCGTTCACTTGAAGAATACCAGCAACTCATGAAAGGAACTGACGATTTAACGGACTCTGCTTACAACGATATTTTCACGTCGTAAAACAAGAAAACAGTTACACTCTGCTTGTCCCCCTTTTCCACAATGTAACATCGTAAATATGGTCCAATGATTCGTGTATAGGTTAGCTTGCAAATGGAATGGGATATATTAGTATCACGAAAGTTCGCATTAAGAATGTTCATATAATATAGTTTGAATAAATAAACATATTCGATTGGTTATTGAATATACTATTATGTAAACTATCGGCTACTATTTATGCTATGTTCTATTTTTGAAGGTGTTTACTATCTTTTTTCAATTATAATAAGTCGTTGATATTGAGAAAAAACGGAAATATTAACGCAAAGTTTTTTTTTAATCCACCTGTCAAATACATTGCCAAGTTGACAACAACGCCGACTGACAGAGTAACTATTACATGTACATATATAGTTATATGAATAGCGACCTCTACCGCCCAATAAGTGAAGCATCGTTGTCATTCACTGAACACGAATTGGTCTACAGAAGCAGATAATAAACTATTGATCTATGTAATATAGAGGGCGCGTTTCAAATTGTGAAATCGCTCGTCAATAATAGAATAAAGATGCACAGTTGATTCAAATCAATCATCACATTGCTTTACCTTGTGTGCGTACACCTTGCGACTGAATATAATATAGTGATCGAAATTACAGTCACATATACGAAGCTATAAATGATCAAATGTGCCTCTGACACCCTCCAGTTACGCTATAACACAAAAAACAACCACTTGAGAATTCATTTTTTATTGCACCCGTTGTAAGTAGTGTTACAATATAATTATGGGGGCAACCACAATCTCAATTTCAATAAAACAAACCTACATAGTTTAAATATATTCGATGAAACTAGATGATTACTTACAATATGCGGCTTCTATTCGACGTTCCTTGTCTTTGCAGGAGAGAAAAGAATAAAGGTGTTGAGAAATCGAAGAAGATAAAATAATCTTTTTTGGCATACAATCCCGTAGGATTAAAATTCAAGATTAATATCTAATTTCTAAGCATGTTTGCCTGCAAATATTGACATCGATATGTCCGCAATAATAACGATTGTGATTTATTCTTCTGGTATTCTAAATGCATATTTTAGTTTACTCCTTTGTCCCCTAATCACAAAATGGAATGTTCCGCCTAACAATGACTTTTCGTCATTAACAATGTTTATTTCGGTAAATACTAGTGTACACTGTCAATGGTGGCTCTGTGCACAGTAAATAAAGCCATGCATAAGTAAATGTATCGACCAACATATGGCATGGGAGTCACGAGTTAATATATTCATGACATGCTCAAATATACAAAGTTTTTCAAGTTGAAATTATGGCAGCTTGTTAGAAATATAAAAAAGTTATTCCAATAGTATTCTCATGCACACTAAAATATATTCCAGCAATATTCTTCTAGAAATTGTTCATGATTTAATCGTCACCTGCGCATGCGTCAGATGACCACAGCGTGTCAGTGTTGACAAACAAGCGTCTACCCATGAGCTATTGCGTTTTTAGCGAGTGTTGTTATCGTCGCTTGGAACTCAATTCCCGCGCGTGCGCAGGTGACGACCCTCCCGCTTTAAAGGAACATGTATATGACAAACCGTAATCCCTACATTAAATTACACATATACGAACACTTTTGAAAATCATAACGAAATACTATAAGGCATTTTTTCTAATCTCCGTATATTCTGGTACATGTGCGTTTATGTGCTTCCTTCTGGATTTATGTGCTGACTGTTCACATTTGCTGCCACTGTGCCCAGCAAATCGGGTGTCATTGTGTTTGAGTTTTAGTTGTCCAGTTACGCATACAGGATTCTGCTGATCCTGATTCGGGTGCTTGTCGCTAATTAATATTCACGAGCTTATTAATATACATGATCTAATTAATACTCATGTTTGCTATCCTACTAGTTATGATTTAACTACTTTAATTAATTAAATTTTTATTTTAAATATTTCAATGTAAAATTAAACTGCTTTGATAAAATATATACACTTTATTTTCGCAATCACGTCCTAAAATACGTATTTTGAGACATTGATCTGACTTGGCAGCCATTTTTTCAAAGCATGTCGTCCGACTGTTACGCCCAAAATTGAAACAAGAATTTAATCTGTTTTCTTCTCCAATGGAATGCTCGTAAATCACATTAATAGTGACAAATAAGTATAATAAATAAATATAGGTAATTATTTTAATTTTATGAACGAGACGTGAAGCCAAAAAACGAGGTTTACTACACTCAAGTGCAAGTGTAGGCGTGTAGATTAAAGAAACGACAGCTTGACGCATCCGTGCTGGTGACGTGAGCAAGTTATTGTTCAACTCAACGAATCCTACTCAGAATTAAACTTCAATGGTAAACATTCCCTCAATTTATTTATTTATTTATTTATTTATTTATTTATTTATTTATTTATTTATTTATTTATTTATTTATTTATTTATTTATTTATTTATTTATTTATTTATTTATTTATTTATTTATTTATTTATTTATTTATTTATTTATCACTTCTCTTCCATAATTTTGATGTATGACTTATTCCGATCTGGGTCGTTTTTTAAAACGACATACAACTGACCGTGGAATAATAAGTTCCAACGTTATAACTGCTTCTTTTCATTCATTGTTCAAAATTCCTATATCAATCATACAGGACTGATTTTTAATCTTATAGGGTTAATTTCTATCGGAGTCCCGTTTGACTTTTTCGTAAGGGTACACAATTCGTTTCATTCCAGTTATCCAGGAGAAGTAATGTAGAGATTATCATTATAAAGCATAAAACGATCACAGCTATATAGATAGCATGCCATAACATTATAGGAGAGAATCGGAGTGTTGAATAAATCTAAATATTCCATTTTCGATCTATAGGGGCAGTGTCATTTTAATTATTGTTACAGAGATTATGAAAGGCGAGAAAGATCAGTCGAAAATGTTATTAAATAATAGGTTACGTTTATTTTGAACAACCGTCCGAGTTTTAGCACCAAATGTTTGTTACCGAGAATGTTTAGCGCGATCAATAATGAATGCCGCCATATTGAAACACGCCAACTTATGCGCTGAAAGATGGTATGCAGGGGCGGATCTAGGATTCTGGAATAGGGGGCGATAAGTTGGCCGAAGGCACGCCCCCCCCCCCGGCCGCTCTAAATCCGCTCTTTGTATGGTTACGTCAGTTTTATTTTCAAGTAAATCTGTACACATCCGTGCTCGCTTGTCAGGTATTGATACCCTGTAGCATTATTCAATGAAGAATTTATGAACGTAATCATATCCGAAATAGTACAATTCAGTGTATGAGTCCATCATTGGGTATTTACTATTCAATCGATCATCTACATATACCCTTTATGTAGATGTTAACTGCCCAGCTTCAAAATCTGTATTGTGGATATTCAAAGTTTCCTTATGCATAGTATGATGGTGTCCGGCTATGTACGTGTTAGTCATTAGGGGAAAAAAACATTGTTTTGTGCGGTGATATATCCTTAAAAATTCGAGCAAATACAACAGTCAAGGCAAGCATGTAATGACAGCATGGCAAATCAAATACTTCTAGACAACGAGAATAGCAATAATAGCAAATACGTCTATGTAGCAATAATAACCAAATACATCTAGGTAGCAATAAAAACCAAATACGTCTAGGTAGCAATAATAACCAAATTGTCTAGATAGCAATAATAACCAAATACGTCTAGGTAGCAATAATAACCAAATACGCTAGGTGGCAATAATAACCAAATACGTCTAGGTAGCATAATAACCAAATACGTCTAGATAGCAATAATAACCAAATACGTCTAGGTAGCAATAATAACCAAATACGTCTAGGTAGCAATAACAACCAAATACGTTTAGGTAGCAATAATAACTAAATACGTCTAGGTAGCAATAATAATCAAATACATCTAGGTAGCAATAATAACCAAATACGTCTAGATAGCAATAATAACCAAATACGTCTAGGTAGCAATAATAACCAAATACGTCTAGGTAGCAATAATAACCAAATTGCCTAGATAGCAATAATAACCAAATACGTCTAGGTAGCAATAATAACCAAATACGTCTAGGTAGCAATAATAACCAAATTGTCTAGATAGCAATAATAACCAAATACGTCTAGGTAGCAATAATAACCAAATACGCTAGGTGGCAATAATAACCAAATACGTCTAGGTAGCAATAATAACCAAATCGTCTAGGTAGCAATAATAACCAAATACGTCTAGGTAGCAACAATAACCAAATACGTCTAGATAGCAATAATAACCAAATACGTCTAGGTAGCAATAATAACCAAATACGTCTAGGTAGCAATAATAACCAAATACGTCTAGGTAACAATTCTAACCAAATACGTCTAGGTAGCAATAATAATCAAATACGTCTAGGTAGCAATAATAACCAAATACGTCTAGATAGCAATAATAACCAAATACGTCTAGGTAGCAATAATAACCAAATACGTCTAGGTAGCAATAATAACCAAATTGTCTAGATAGCAATAATAACCAAATACGTCTAGGTAGCAATAATAACCAAATACGTCT